TGTGTGTGTGTGTGTGTGTCTGTCTATCTTTAAAAAAACTATTTGAAACTTTATGTGAAATAATAAGAAAAATGCATTTTAAACAAATATTTAATGTAGTCAATGTCATTTAATTAAATGATATTCCAGCTAATATGTGATCATATAAACATATGCATAAGAATTATAAAAAATAAAAATGATGATTTATTAATATTACAAAGTATTTTAATTATATGTTAATTCATATTAAGTATTACAACTGTATGAATATAATTGTAAACAAATTAAAATTAAAATGCATTCATGTAGTCCTTCAATTAATTATATTTTATTTATATTATTAAATATATTTTATATTTTAATACAAATATATTTTAATATAAAAACTGCATGAATACAAATTGTAAAATAATCGCATATTATTGCAATTAATTAATATATCAACTAATAATGTCTTTCTATCTATCTTAATTTCAGTCAAGTGTGCACAAACTTTTGACTGTGACACTATGTGTGTGTGTTCTGCATCAACTACTGAAAGTGAGTAAGGCTATGTTTGTATTTTACTCATTTTCACGTTTGTCTCTTTTTACAGACAATGGCATCAGCAGAAGTCAAAGTTGCATTTGTCAGCAATCACAATGGGACGACCCTGACAGAGGTTTCGCTGGGATCCCTCTTAGCCCCGCTGTGTTTTCTCAGCCGAGGACTCTTCCTGATAGTATTCCACCTGGGAAAAGGGGTTCTTCCGTTCTCCTGGGGATCCCATCTCCTGCTGGACTTCACAGCACTAATAATGCCTCTGGTCCTGTCATGCACCGCACTGAGCGACATCCTTCACTTTGTCATCATAGGCATCGCTGTAGTTGATTTTGTTGTCCTATACCTTTTATACAAGAATGGAAAGCATCCATATCAAGGTTCCTTCCCAAATACAATTGACAGATTTGTGCAAAGCAGAGTAGAATCCAACCTGGTCCCGTTTGTGACCGTGTTCCGGGTTCTGGTCAACGTGAAGACCTCCATAAGCATTTTAGCTGTTGATTTTAGCGTCTTCCCAAGACGTTATGCAAAAACAGAGACGTATGGAACAGGGGTGATGGATTTCGGCGTCGGAGCGTATGTAATGGCCAACGCATTGGTATGTCCCGAAGCAAGAGGAAAGGACATTCAAGGCTCGAAGATCAGTCATGTGTTTAAACAGTTGATTTCCATCTGGCCGTTGGTCTTGTTAGGGTTTGTGAGACTTGCAAGCATCAAATCATCAGGCTACCACGAACATGTGACAGAGTATGGAGTTCACTGGAACTTCTTCTTCACGCTAGCCATCGTCAGAGTGGTGGCGTCCGCACTTCTGGCTCTTTTACCTGTGAACTCCTCTTGGCTTCTTGCTCTTCTCATTGGTGGAACCTACCAGGTTGTTTTAGAGACAACAGGTCTGAAGTCCTTCCTCATCTATAATAATGAGCGCACAGGCTTTCTGCAGGCAAACAGAGAGGGCATCTTCTCAGTTGTGGGTTATATAGTTATCTATATGGCTGGGGTTCAGGTTGGCCGCTACCTCATGCAGAGCAGAAATTTGGTTAAAGACTGGATCAGAGTGATCCGTAACCTTCTGTTAACCAGTTTTGGGTTGTTCTTCACTCTATACGTGTGCCAGATATGCACTGAGCCAGTGTCACGCAGAATGGCCAACCTTTCCTTCTGTATTTGGACTGTAGCACAGGCTTTATTCTTTCTCTCATGCCTCAGCATTGCTGATTTACTGCTACTTTTTTCTAAAGCCATCTCTAATTTTTCATTTGTGTCTGCATCGTGGTGTCCGTATCAAAATAAGAAGTCATTAGCATACGAGAAAATGAGAAAAAATACGGATGCATTATGCCTCGTACAGTCTGTTAACCGGAATCAGTTGTTATATTTCCTACTCGCAAATATCATGACTGGTTTGACCAATGTGTTAGTCGACACTCTGAACAGCAGCGATGTTTTAGCTGTAAGTGTTCTGCTATTGTATATGTTCTTGAACAGCTTAGTCATATTCATATTGCATATCAATAAAATAACCATTAAGTTCTGGTAAAGACCTTTTTGTTTAGTTTCCGATTACACTGTATTTTTTTAATGGCTCTCTCGTTTTAACTGCTGTGAAATACGCTGTATATAAATTGTTTGCAAAGTGCAAATAAAATTGAATGTGATATATGTAAATTCATGTATACGTATTCTATATCAGATATGAATCTAAATTGATTTATTTCATACTAATAGTAGATGCAAATTACATCAGTTTTAGGTTAAGATTTTTGTATTTTTATATGCTGTAATTGGCCACCATTTCTGTGAACTTCTTCCATGAGTTACATCGTCTGTGCTTTTTGCCGTTCACTTAGATAGCCTGTGTGGTGATTAAAAATATTCCATGTAGTATTTTAATTAATTGATTATGAAAGCTGCATGCATTATAATTATAAAAGAATTTGGAAAATGCTGGTGCTTACTAACATTCCTTTGAAGTAAACTTTTAAATAATTAAGTCTAATTTTAATTAATTGAAATGAAAATGAATTAAAATATGAAAAGTAATTGTAAAAGAACAAGAAAATTGAACAAATATTTCATGTAGTCTTTTAATGAAACATTTCAACTATGCGGTCATAAACACTGCATGCATATTAATTCTAAGATTTTTTTTTTAAATGAATAATCAAACTTGTAATTAAGTCATAAAACTATATAAAAATAATTGGGAAAGAAGGAGAAAAATGCATTTTAAATAAATATTTAATTAAATAATATTTCAACCAATATGCAATCGTGAGAAACTGCGTGCATATGCTAATTATAACATTTTCAAAATGCTGATTTTTACTAATAATACAAAGGCTTTAATATTAAGTCTCAAAACTACAGTATATGAAAAAATATTTGTAAAAGTATTAGAGAAATGGTATTTTAAACATTTCGTGTGGTCTTATAATTAAATAATGTTTTGACTAATAAGCAATCATGAAAACTGCATGCATACGAATTATAAAGAATCAAAGAATGCTGATTGTTTACTAATATTCCAGTCTCTTAATTAGACTTTTACTTAATATTAAGTAATAAAACTATACGAAAAATAATTATAAAAGATTAGAAAATGCATTTTAAACAAACATTTAATGTAGTCTACTATGCGATCATAAAAATTGCTTTTTCCTAACAATACAAAGTTAGTACTTATTTCATCTGTCAATCAAACGGCACAGGCCACGCCCCCAGAGCCCGGAAGTACTTTCTGACGTATTAAGGGTCACAGAACACTCGCCTGCCACATACGCCTCTGTCGCACTTGTTTGTTTTTGTCCAAAAAAAGAGAAACAACTTTCGAAAACAGGTGAGTACGACAGCTGCAGCTTGATATTTGTGCATTTAGTCGCTCTTTTAAGTGCGATAACGGCTGAAAAGTAACGCCACGGCGAGGATAAACCCGGAATGGGTCAGTCAAAGTAGGTCTCTGACAGCACACTTTTGAATGTAAAAAGCTTGTATTGTTTTAAAAGTACATTTGCACCCTGTTTAGCATCCAATAAAACGTGCTTTGTTAGGTTTAAAGTTTCCGTGTGCAGCTCCCTCGGGCAAGCTACAAACAGAGCTAGCATGCTAATCGGCTTGAAAAAAAGTTTCGCTGGTTAGCTGTGTGCTAACTTGACTTCGACACACAAAATCGTCTCTCTTTTTTGTAACATCATCTCAGACTCCATCCCTGCAGCGTTAAATATGTCAAAATGACTCGTTGCTCTACAGGTGAGTGTGAGCGTTTCGCTGGCTAACAGGCTAATTAGCATATGTGTCATCGGAGGGAGCACGAGTGCAGTTATTACAGCTCTGCTTATTGAACTGTTGTCATGACTACTAGACTGTCAAGCGTATCTAATATGAATATGATCTGAAATGTGATATAGGTATTCTAGAGCTTCGAGAGGCTGGTTTGGTGGTTGTTTTGCTGCTCATTGTTAGCACGTAATGTGGCTTGACCTCTTCATTCTCGCACCTCTGATAAAGGAGTTACTGCATTTATTTGACACTTCTGTAAGTATATATGCAGATATGATGCATGTACATGAACGTTTCATTCAGATTGGGGTGTAGAGCTGGGGATAGTAAGTGTTTAAGCCTCTGTAGTCAGATAAGAGTGTATGCGTAAGCTAATAATCCTTAGCAAAGCTACAAGGGCTGCTGGGAAACCAGTGTTTGCGTTTTAGAAATGGACAAATATTGATTCATCTGGGTGAGAAAAGCAGGCATGTGAAAGTATAAAATAGTATATTAATTTTATTAAAATTATTTTAATTAAACAAATAAATAATATATAACTAGTTGCAGTAATACGATTGTACTGTAAAAAATAAGTATTAATAATAATAAATATTATTTCATTTTATTATATAAATTATACAATTAAATATTACTGTTGCAAATAATACTTTTGTACTGTAAAACACAAGCTTTTAATAATTATAATAATTTAATGTTATTATTTGAATATCAAATATTAAACAGAAATCTATTACTATTGCAGTAATAACATTGTGCTGTAAACAAAAAGTATTTAATAATAAGTAAGGGATAATGTACATCCAGCCAGTTGTTATGAAAGAATAGCATAATGACCAATCAGAATCAAGTATTCCACAGAGCCATGTAATAATAATAATATCATCTTAATTTGATATTTAAATTATAAAAATTAAATAAAGAAATATTGCTGTTGCTGTAATACTACTGCACTGTAAAAAGCAAGTATTTCATAATAATAAGAAATATTATTTATAATATTATTATTCAAATTATAGAAATTAATCAAACAAATTACTTATTTATTATTATTGTTATTATTTTAAAGAACAAAAGTAAAATTACAATACTAATATTTATGTATGCTCTGTGCTTTCGAATGTTCAAAAACTAAAATTCACGTGGGTCGTACTTTTCACTTCAGAAAATATGGAAGTCCATATAAATATGGAAAAATGACATACCTGGAAAATGAAAAGTGGCCTGTATTGGAACTCATAGTGGAGGTGATATTGTGAATGCACAGCTAACTGAGATTGTGTCCACACACTAACAGGCAGATCTGGGCAAAGACATGGCACATCTGGTGGCTGTCTGCAGGGACGGGGAAGAGGACTATCTGTTTCTTGCACGCCAGATTCCCTTGTACATTGATGACTCTCTCACGGTAAGATCATTTTTTGGTTTCCCGTTGCATTTCACCGTCTTTAAAGGCACAATATGTAATTTTCGCCGCTGGAGGGCACGTATTCAAAATAAAGAAAGAAACAAAGGCGTAGTTAGATGACGCCGTGACTGAGTGAGTTAATTTATGAGAGAGAGAGAGGGGCTGTGCATGTATGAATTACCAACGTTTTGGCGTGTTTCTCTATTAACAGTGAAGCTGTGGCTTTAATTCCTTTAGAAACAATGATGTTACCAGCTCCTTGCATTCGCACACGTAGTGTAAATAACGAGAGAGACGAACGCAGGTCTACGCAGAAATCAAACGATAAAGATGCTCCGAAGACAACAAGATGCTGTTTAGAGCCAAGCTGTGGAAAAACAGTCTTTGCATCGCATTCCTTCTGATCCCAACATTAAGAAAGAGTGGATGAACTTTATCTTTAATTAAGTTCCAGACCACGTCAGTAAGAACTTGGTCTTTTGTTCACTTCATTTTACTGCGGATTTGTTTATAAACAAGGCAAAATTCGACGCAGGATTTTCAGAAAGATTGAAACTATAAGACGATGCTATGCCAAATATATTGGATCTGACAGTAATGTCGCACCACACAAGTGTGAGTAACATTACATGGTCACTATTGTTTGATAAGTACTGAGTATCAGTCGTGGCCTAATGGTTAGGGAGTCGGACTTGTAACCCGAAGGTTGTGGGTTTGAGTCTCAGGTCCGGCATGGATTGTAGGTGTGGGGAGTGAATGAGCTGCGCTCTCTTCCACCCTCAATACCACGACTGAGGTGAGACCCTTGAGCAAGGCACCGAACCCCCAACTTGGCCACATGTCACTTCACTTATTTGTTTTTAACCTAAATCACAGCAGCGTCCATCTATGAAAAACTGCAAAACTGTTAACCAATCCTAGCAGTGGGCATTTACTTCCGAGTCTACAATCCATCCCGTCTATTCAAATGGTGTGTTCTGATGAGGGGATCAAAACAGGACAGAAAATAGCCTATTACTTCTATTAATCATCATCATAGCCTCACAATCCAATGAAATTAAGCTTCAACCTACATTATGGAAATGTCACATTATGGAAGCTCAGTGCATTATGTTAAGGAAAGGATATGCAGTTTGAATCATTTTGTCTGTTAGTTTGTTTTCCTTTGCCTGTATGATTTAGTTGTTTTTTCATTTTAATATGTGTGCTTTTTCTTCCCTTGTTGTAGGTCAAAGTTAAACAACGTAATTGACTCTATTCCCAAGAGTAAAAAGAACAAACGCTGTCAGCTGCACTCTTTAGACACGCACAAACCGAAGCCTTCAGGGTGAGTCAGTAACTTTTAGTTTTTAATCATCATGTGACATTTGGTGTTTTTTCTTCTGTGCTTCCTTGACAACATAACCAAACAAAAATTGTAGCAGTGTTGTTCTTATAATGTAAATATTTTGGGGTAAGGAATCAATGAAAATATGAAAATCTTGGATGAGTAGTGGTCAGGGTCAAAAATTAATGGGCGCTTGGGGCAAAATTGCCACCAAAATGAACAAAAATGCCTCCCAAATTCAACATAAGGGTTAAAAAATATTCCTCTACAGAAATAAACTAAATCTGTTGCGACTTGAAATGAATAAAAAGTTAATGATCACTATTACATTATATATTACAAGAGACCGATGACCAATAATTATTTTATTTTTTTGTCATAATACAGTTCCTGTTTTTTATTTTCCATTATATATAGGGCAGTTTTATGTAAGATGTGATAAATTACATTGATCTCATAACATTATGCAGTTGTTGAATGCATAAGCAGACTGTGTGAATAAACGTACCATGACAGATGCATTGGTAGCAGCCTATACAGAATACATTTTATAAATAAATGTGACATAAAAGACAAAACGGATTCATTTAATGATGTAATTATAAAAAATGCACTTACAAAGCGCAAAATAAATATGCCACTGGAAATCAGTCCTGGGGCAAAAATTTTAAATTTCTGATCCTGGTAGAGATACAAGTGACCATATCAGTAGGTTGTTTGGTAACCGTGGTTACGGTCCTGCAGGGGCAGCTGGATGGACGTGTGGGAACTGATGTCACAGGAGTGTCGTGATGAAGTGGTTTTGATTGACAGCACCTCTTTACTGGAGACTCTGGAGACGTACCTGCACAAACACCGGTGAGAGCTTGTGACATCAACATATTTCTCTTAATTGGCTCAGTGACAAAAATGTATTTATTGGTTCTCTCTTTCTGCAACATCATTCTCAGGTTCTGTACTGACTGTAAGAATAAGGTTTTGAGAGCGTATAACATCCTAGTAGGAGATCTGGACTGCAGTAAGGAGAAGGGCTACTGTGCGGCTCTGTATGAGGGTTTACGCTGCTGCCCCCATGAGCACCACATCCACGTCTGCTGCGAGACCGACTTCATCGCACACTTACTGGGCCGAGCAGAACCCGAGTTCGCTGGTGGTTATGAGTGAGTGATCCAGTCCTCATGGAGTTTGTTTGATGCTGTGTAACGTGCATTAAAGTCACACCATATCATCTACTGGAAATGAGATGTATTAGCTATTCTAACATCGTAGATATACCTTCATTAAGAGTGTTTGGCTCATTTACAGGCGTCGAGAGAGACACGCGAAGACCATAGATATCGCACAGGAGGAGGTGCTGACGTGTCTAGGAATTCACCTGTACGAGCGGCTGCACAGAATCTGGCAGAAGCTGCGAGCAGAAGAGCAGACGTGGCAGATGCTCTTCTATCTGGGCATTGATGCGCTCCGCAAAAGCTTCGAGGTAACGCTCTCATGTGGTATTCATGCTGAGAATAATTTTATTCTTAAATGGTACTTTCCATCAGTAGGGTATAAATCCAACAATCAAAATAATTAAACAATTATATTTTCAACACCTTAACAATTAATGGTAGGAAAAGTCTTAAAAAATAATGTAAATATAAAATTGGAATATATGTATATATGTAGAATGCAACCCTGTTAGCACATAATCTCTCTCTACATTTCTTTGTAGCACCTAAGGAAGTAAATTTATATGAGAATTATAAGTTTATTAAAGGCTGTAAACCAACATTTGGTCCAAAACTTGTTGTTTTTTCTTCATTTAATTTTGTACTTTTAAAAATATATTTGTTTTTTTGCTGGAAAACATCACATTCACAGGGTTTTAAACAGTATATGTATATATTTTGTTCACATAGGTTGCAAAAAAGTTATATTTATATAAATTCGATATAAAATAAAACTGCTTGTGTAATATTTATATACACAAGCAGTTTTATATAAATCTTTTTGACCTTCTGAAATTCCATTTATTGACCTTTTGTTGTTATTTGACTTCATTCAGTAAAGGAGTTGTCAGTGCAAACCCTCTTTTGCCATTAAAAAACGACTGTCAGAATTTACTAAAGACACACAGTGGAAAAATTAGTGACTTATTGCATATCCATTTGTAGGAGTTTACCTTTCAGATGCATGATTTATGTCGGGAGAGTATTTAAATGAATCATGCAACACGATTTACTGGTATTTGCGCCATTATTTAACACCCATTTGATTGCATTGATCATTATGGATATGTTTTTTAATTTACACATTGTCTGAAGATCCACAGAACTTTCCGCTCCCATCTGCGCTTTTATGGGATTACTCTTTCACACTAATTTGCCCTGTTTAGTTAACCTGGCCCTTAGTTCTTATTTTGTACTAATGGAAAGTATCATATGTGACCCTGGAGCACAAAAGCAGTCTTAAGTCGCTGGGGTATATTTTTAGCAATAGCCACAAAAACATTGTATGGGTCAGAATTATTGATTTTTCTTTTATGCCAAAAATAATTAGGATATTAAGTAAAGATCATGTTCCATGAAGATATTTTGTAAATGTCATACCGTAAATATATCAAAACGCATTTTTTGATTAGTAATATGCATTGCTAAGGACTTCATTTGGATAAATTTAAAGGCGATTTTCTCAGTATTTGGATTTTTTTGCACCCTCAGATTCCAGATTTTCAAATACGGTAGTTGTATCTCGACCAAATATTGTCCTATCCTAACAAACCATACATCAATGGAAAGCTCATTTATTCAGCTTTCAGATGATGTATAAATCGCAATTTCGAGAAATTGACCCTTATGACTGGTTTTGTTGTCCAGGGTCACATATATTATAATGTGCACACTTGATTTATGTTAAATGATGTGCAGATGGCGGTGGAGAGGGTTCAGGGCATCAGCCGGCTGGAGCAGCTCTGCGAGGAGCTCTCAGAGGAGGAGCGAGCAAAAGAACTCAAACAGGAGAAAAAGAGGCAAAAACGCAAGAACAGACGCAAAAACAAGTGTGGCTTTGAACAAGAGGCGGAGGGGGAAAAGGATAAAAGTCTTGATGAGGTAATGACAGATTTAATGTGTCTCTGTTCCGTTCCTTCACTGTCTTCTCTAATAGCACTGTTTATTACACTGCATGAAATACTACAGTGGCTACGTTTGCATGCAACCAAATAATCTGTTAGTAATTGGATTGATGGCTCAATCGGACTGAAAAGCCTTCATGTAAACAACTTAATCGATCCGATTGAGCTCGATCTGCGTTTATTTGATCGGAAATACAGTAAAAACAAGTTTTCCATTTGAATATATGTTAAAATGTAATTTATTGCTGTGATCAAAGCTGAATTTTCAGCATCATAACTCCAGTCTTCAGTGTCACATGATCTTCAGAAATCATTCTAATATGCTGATTTGCTGCTCCAGAAACATTTCTGATTATCAATGTTGAAAACAGTTGTGCTGCCAAATATTTTTGTATATATTCTTTCAGGGTTCTTTGAATAAAAAGTTCAAAAGAACAACATTTATATGAAATATAAATCTATAAATCTAACTGACACTTGTGATTAATTTAATGTGTCCTTGCGGAATATAAGTATTAATTTCAATTAAAATTAACTTGAGTGTAATTAAAAATTACTTATTTAAATGGTATAAAATAATGTGGTTTTCAGTTAGGCTAACTGTATTGAATGTAAGATATATTTACAGTAAATACAACAAAAAGAAACAACATTGTTGGGAAAACTGTTCTGTCAAGCTGCTAAAAAATGTAGTTATTTGCTACTCGACACTGATCTTGAATTCCTCTTTCTCTGTCATCCTCATTCACTTCCTCTTGGTCTTTTTGCAGGGTTCGTCTGAGTCTGTGGACGGCGGCTGTAAGACGTGTGGCAGTGGAGAGGAGTCTGTCAGCAGCGTGGAGGTCATCATCACCGGCAAGAGTTCATCCTGCACCTGCTCTGCCGCCTCCATCCTGCATTCCCCCAAAACCAAGAAAGGTAAAGAGAGCTTTTCATTTTCTTTAATCATGGAATTATGCATGTAAGTTACCCAGAATGCACCTGACTGTCGAGTTTGTGTCTGTTTGTTCCTCTAGCACTATTGCCTCACAGTAACGGCAGTGACTGTGGCTACTGTTCCAGTATGGAGGGCAGCGAGACGGGATCCAGAGAGGGCTCAGACGTGGCCTGCACTGAGGGCATGTGCAACCATGATGAAACTGGTATGGAAATAAATGTGGTGACTATTTATCAATCTCTAGGTCTGTTTTAAAAATGTATTAAGTAATAATGATTTCAGACGACTGAGTAAAGCCAGCCAATCAGATTTGATAGACACTATTCCTTTGATAGACATTTGATAATGATCATATTTATGTTTATCTCCAGGTGAATACTCATGTAGTCACCGCTGCTCGGAGGAGAAGGAAGAGGACGCTGTGGACAGCTGTGTGGAGTGCTGGGCAAATTCAGAAGACAACACAAAGGGCAAAAATAAAAAGAAGAAAAGAAAAAACAAGCCGTCACTTTGCAGGAGTGAGCATGTGAGTTCCTAGTTGTTTTGGACAAAGTAGCCAAGTACTTTTTGTATGGGTTGCTTTGATTTTTTTTTTTATCAGTTGCTTTCACTGAAGATGCTTCTCAGATAAATTGATCTTGTTGAACAACATCTCTTTCTATATCTGTTTTTATTACATTTTTTTTTTTTT